AAACGGGCTGCGGCAGGGGGGGGCGCCGGGGAGAGCCGCAGGAAGTAACCTTGGGGGGGCAGAGGAACCACCCTCCACTGCCGCAGCTCACCTCCGCTCTGCCTGCTCCCAAGCGCACCGCCACCGCTCCGCTTCTCCCCCCTCCCTCCCAGGCTTGCTGCGCAAATCAGCTGCGGCAGTGGGGGCGCCGGGGAGAGCCGCAGGAAGTAACCTTGGAGGGGCAGAGGAACCGCTCCCCCCCCCTCTTCCCCAGCGGGGGAGGAGGCGGGGCTGGGGATTTGGGGAAGGGGTTGGAATGGGGCAGGGAAGGGGCGGAGTTGGGGTGGGGCCAGGGCACGTGGGACATTTTTTTTGCTTGGGGCGGTAAAAAACTTGGAGCTGGCCCTGCTCAGCACCATTAAACCTGAAATCTCTCTAGTTGGGTTCGGGGACGGAGTGGCTGCACTGGGGGACCACACTACCCACTGCCATTCCCACCGGGGTGGGGAGCTGAGTGACAAGACAATGGCCAAAGACATGTGAGTATTCACTACCCACTGCCATTCCCACCAGGGGTGGGGAGCTGAGTGACAAGACAATGGCCAAAGACATGTGAGTGTTTGGTATATACCAATCTATTTTTGCTGTTTCCCGGGTTGATGTTGTCTCTCTTTGTCTCCTAATAAAGCCTGTCCTTGATTTGCACTAGACTCTATGTTTGCACATGAAGAAGTGCTGCCTGTTCAGAGTCCTGGGGGGGGTGGGGGGTGGTATTTAGTTTTTCCCAGATTTCTCGGGCGGTGCTTGATTCTATGATGTGTGATAGATTTTAAGAGGAATTCCTAGACATTTGAACCCAGCTCAAAGTGGGAGGGAAACAAGTAGAATGTTATTCATATTCCATTCACCACATCCCCTCCAACCCACCCTGCTCCTCCCTCTGGGGCCAGCCTCCTGGTTCTCCAAAGCTTCCATCTATCCTGCACCTCTTTGTGTCAATAACGGGGGAGTGACTGGGGCCCAGTTAAAGAAAAAACTCTGGTTTACTGTTACAACATGAACAGCCAGGTTTGGAGCTTTGCATCCAGTTACTGCTGGTGTGTCCCATTGTTAATCTTTTATTATGCACACAGCCAAAGGAGTGTCTGCAACTTCCCAAGTCAACACTCCCAGTGTAACACTTCCCCTTATTTTCTTCCTTTAGCTGTACAGAGTTGTTTAGAGGGGAAGTTTCTTGTTTTACTCTTTTGTAGATGATATGACAGATCAGGGCCAGATTTAGGGGCAGGCTACCCAGGTGACCACCTGGGGTGCCAGGATTGGGGGGTGCTGGGCTTGGGATGCTGTTTTTGTTGTTAGCGACAAGAGGGAAAATAGAATATTTGAAGTAAAATCTTCCAGGTGGAAGTATGTGGATTCATTTTTCATTAATCTCCAAGAATGTTCTGGACCTTTGTAGAATATTGTGGAACCTTCCAGACTTTCTGAGAGCTACATTTTCTTTGAATCTCCTAGCATGCCCTCACAGGGATATAGCATGAATAAATACACATTTACAGATCCTAAGGGTGCAAATTTATTGTCTTATAGGACAGGGATAAATCATGAATGCAAATAATGCCTCAAAGTCGTGAAATGGGCTACAAATGCAATAAAAAATAAGGTATACAAAGTTTAACAAATGGAAGGGGGCGCCAAAGACGCTCCTCGCCTGGGGCGCCATTTGGTCTACGGCCAACCCTGTGACAGATGGTTTTATTTTATTTATTTTGGAAAGAGAGAAGGTGGCTGCTAGGATGGTTTGGACCTGTTGTGTAGTCTGAGCAGCCTCTCAGATATAGCCAACACTTAGCAGCATCAGACTGTTTACAAGTGCTTCTTTACTTGCCTTTCTGCTCCCCAGCTGACATCAATGTCACATCAGGTGGAGCTGTGTTGGGGGTTAAGCCAGACTTTTGTTACATGGACAGCAGGAAGGGGGAGACCGGAGAGAAGGGGAATGAGGTGGGGAAGGAAACTGGCACATTAGGGAGGGGGTGAGAGCAGGAGCTGTAGGCGCACAGCCCAGGAGTTCAGCAGCCAGCCAAAGCCTGTGTGATCGTGATGTGATTGGACCAAAGGGAGGGACCCAATCTGATCAGGATGTCCTTCTGCAGTAGAGTGAGATGGTATATTCATGATAGTGAAGCTCACTCCGCTCCATTCCCCATTGATACCCATACAGCAATGTCCAGAAGGAGGCAGTAATCTTACCCCATTAACAGTGACCAATCACAACACATTTAGGTGATTTTAGCTCTAAACATGGGAATTTCCCATTCTCTCCTTATCCTATGACCTGTGCTGGGCAGGGGGTCAGACTAGACAATCACAATGGTCCCCTTTGGCCTTGGAATCCATGAATCTAAAAATCTATGTTTAAAGTATGTTATTTAGTTGCAAAGTCAAGCACTCAATAATTAGAAATGCCAAAAGGTTGCCCATGCAGCCTTAATTCTCCCCACACCCCTTGTGCATATGCATAATAATGCTGTCTTTAATTACATGATCATATAGTATTTTTCCCACAGGACTCTGCCTTATTCAGTGTCCAGGAGGGACAGTGCTCAGGGAATTCAATATTTCTTTTGTTTCTCATCATTCAGTTTATGGCCCCTGCCTTATTTACTGCCACCATCCAAAACCCTTGGAGAATACAGAATTACCACGTTTCACACGAGCATTTCCATGGTGATCTCTCTGCAGCATCACAGAGCTTCAGCCACATTAATGTTTATTTTCCAAATGTCTCTGTGAGATGACCAAGTATTGTCTCGTTTTGCAGAAATGGGGCATGGAGGCTGAGAGATTAAATTTATAATTTGCAAAAATCTCCATTAATTTTGGGTGCCCAATTTGAGAAATGTTGGGCCTGATTTTTTGGAGTATTTGGCATTATCTATAACTTTGCC